TACTAGAAGAAGTAAGAGAAAAGGCGACAATAAAGATGATGGCCTATGAACGGAGAGCCGTCGAATACTTCAATCGGAGAGTGAAACCAAGAATCTTTCAACCAAAGGACCTTGTGTTAAGAGACGCGACAACAGTATGACACCCCCTAGCAAAACTCAGACCAAACTTGGAAGGCCCCATATGAAGTGATCCGTAGCCTAGGAAAGGGGGCTTACAGCTTGAAAGACATGAAGGGACAACCACTGGGTAGACCGTGGAACACAGAGCATCTCAAAAAATACTACCAGTAGATTTTAGAATAGACGCATGGACTACGCTTTTGTAAATACAGTAGATAGATTGCCTTGTTAATTCTCTCTATGTAATGCCTCACTGAGGCACCCTTAGTGGCATTTGTTTATTCAATGAAAAACCTTGGTAGTAACAAGTGATGAGGGCGCTAAGGAAGGGCCAGCCTAGTTGGGACGTCTCGGTGCACCTACCGAGCTCATGAATCCAAGTATTTTTATACTGATACGCAGTCTTAGACTCCTCCTCATCCCATGAAAACACATGGTCGACATAGCCTATACGGCTAGGCGGAGAGCCTTAACAAGCCGAAAATTGGCTAAGGCCTTTAATCGCTAGACCCCTCTCATGACGGTCGACATAGCCTACGCGGCTAGGCGGAGAGCCTTAACAAGCTGAAAATTGGCTAAGGCCCTTAACCGCTAGACCCCTCTCTTGATGGTCGACATAGCCTACGCGGCTAGGCGGAGAGCCTTAACAAGCCAAAAATTGGCTAAGGCCCTTAACCGCCAGACCCCTTTCCCGACAGTCGACATAGCCTACGCGGCTAGGCACAGGGTAACACAAGGCTAAAATTGGCTAGGGCCATCGACCACTAAACTCTGATAGCCATTCCCCCGTACCATCAAACAGTGAAAAGAAAAAGAAGTAGGACGACATGAAAGACGGCAAGTTGAAGGAACAATGCACTCAATACTAATAATCGTAAACGAAAAATGTGTTTATACATATGAGAAATTCTTGCCCACACCTCGGACAAGTAGGAGATAATGAGACTAAACAAAAGTAAACACGAAAAAGGAAAAGCTAACAAAGAAAACAACAACTAAGAAATGCTTCAGCTCGAAGGGGAGACATCCCCACTGCCACCTCGTGATGATCGTCCAAGTGACCTAGATGGCTGTGCTCCACTCTCCTTCCCCTTGCCCTGTGCAAGAAACCTATCTAGACCAGAGGGGTCTATAGAAGGATGCTCGGCCATAATCCACTCCTTGGAGAGTTTGATAGAAGCTGCCATCGCCTTCCCCCTATATGAATTCAAAGCCTTAGCATAATCAGACGACGTCTTATACTGCTCCACAAATACCTCGAGATCTTTGGCGTACTTAGCTGAGGTCTTATACTTCTCAATCGCCTCCTCTGGAGCACAAGCCAAAACAGAATGCAAGTTGTCGTTCTCCGTCTCCTGCTTGCGAGCTCGAGCATCCGACGTCTCCAGAGATTTCCTCAAGGAGGATATCTTTTTCTTGTAGTGATGAGCCTCCTTTTTCTTTTCTTCAGTAAGAATCTTCAACTTCAAGACTAGGCGGCGATTCGATTTAGCAAGTCTGGTCTGGAGGGCTTCCACTTAAGAAATGAGGGGGTAGAATAAAAGTCAAGCGTTAAAACCAAGCTTAAAAGGAAGGACCCAACATAAAAGAAAATGCGATATTGGAAACGTACCCTCTGGAGATAAACAGCTGTAGCCCTTTCAATGTCATCTACACTACACCCTGCAACTGCTCTAGAACGAGCGGGAGTCACCAAAGACTTGAGCACCCCCATCTCATGATAGCCCCGGGTGGGAGGAAACCCGAAGTTGGGAAGTAAATCCTCGCACTCACACAATACACGACTAGAAGCACCCGGCCTAGGAGCTGGAGCCACCTCATGAGGCTCGTCTGAAGGTTGGGAGGTCTCGTTGATCGCCCGAGACTTTTCCCCTTGGTCGACCGCCGTCCTTCTCTTTGAAGTGATAGGCGATGGATCGCCTCATCCCCCTACCCCTGGTCGGGCATGGAATCCATGATCCCTTCAAGATCAAGCTCTGTCCCCTACACATGTAAGTTAGAATCCGTTAAGATCGCAAGGTAGAAGAGCATGAGGGTATTAAAAAAAAAAAAAAAAGGAAGTGAACACAAAAGCTTACCATCAACGGGAGCAGAGCCCTCATCGCCTCCTTGCAGGGTCTTCAATATCTCATCAAGATCAAAGTCCATATCTGTATGCATACATCCAAACTTATCAGTCCCGAAAAACTAAAAGCAAAAAAATAATAAGTGAACGTGTGTGCATGCAATAAAAAAAATCGACGGAAACAACCTACCAGTAGGATGGCTCATCCCCACTATCAACATGTTCTTCATAGTCAAGACTGATCCTAAGTCAGGCGTGAGAGGCAGTACATCAACCAACTCTTGGATTTGAGCTTTTAGAAAGGGGGTAACTTCTACTTGGCTATTGAAAAGATGAATTTTAGGGTGTCGCCAATTGGTGTTAAAAGAGAACTGACCTGCTAAATGCCGGACGAAGAAGAACCCGGACTTCCATCCGCTATTTGAATTTCTAAATTTAGGAAATTTCAAAGGAACGCTAGTGGTAAAATAGACGAATGCATTACACTGAACTAGCTCATGCATTTCGAAGACACACCTAAAAAGGTCTATGGAAAGTGATATTTTCCTTTTGAGACAAACATATAGGAAATATAACGCCTTTCTCCACGCTTTGGGGTTAATTTGACTAGAAGTAAGGTGGAACTCATTAAAAATCGACACAAAAAAGGGATGAAAATGTGGAACCGAAAACCCCTGTCCATAATATCCTTGTACATGGCTACCTCGCGGGGATCGGACCCGGGGAGTCTTTCTTTAGGACCGGGGGCTCTATAGACGTAATCATCAACCCGGTCATACTTACCTAGACGTTTTTCCAACTTAAGTGGTGAATTGTAGAGACTATAACTTTTTGGGATATCTAGGGGGACAACCTCACCAGTCGGGTCTCACCCAATTTCTAAATTTTGATTTGGAATTTTGGTAAAACTAATGTGCCTCTTTGGGGAATTTGGGACAAATGCCTGAGAATCAATTGAATGAATTTCACTATCAATGTCATAAAGAGATCTACCGGACGAAGGGGACGAGTCACTAGCGAGTCAGGTCGAGGGGCTGGATGGGACACGAAGTTCAAAAGAGGCTGGGTGACGGTACCCTCCGACGAAGGTCCGGTCGAGTCACCGCGCCTCCCATCACTATTCTCATTGGAAGGAGAAGAAAGAATAGTCTTATACATGGCAACAAAAAAAAAAAGATGAAGAGAACAAATTAAAGCAAGACTTGGGATTAAAAAAGAGAGAAAATTACCTTAGAAGGGAAAAAGCCTAGGAAGTTGAGAGAAAATGAAAGTGATTCTTTGAAGAAAAAATCACCCCCCCTTTTTATAGACACAAGAATTCAAACTTTTTTGGGGGGAAATTCCCTCCAACATTAGGACCATTGATGGAGTGCCATGTTTACAGTAAAATTGCTATTTGATTTCGATTGCATTGCTAGACTTGTTAATGCGAACTACTCATTTATCATTTGAAAAAAAAAATTCAAACCAACCCAGATAAAGAAAATTGCTACCCCTTACCAAAAACATCGACAAGGGATAGGGAGGCTAATGATATAGGCTGGTAGAAGAAGCCACCCTCGGAGACAAGCAAGATGGATCGCTGCACTTCGATGCAAGGCCATCGAACGTTAAGGGGTGCTCTACTACTATCTCCAAGCGGTGCTCTACCACCATGCACAACCATTGACCCCCCAGGTGCGCTCTACCACTACCCCTAGGGGGCACTCTACCACTACACGAGGCCATTGACCACCTCCCAGGGGCGCTCTACCACTACCCCAAGATATCGTTCTACCTCTACGCGAAGTCTTCAACTGGCATGGAATTGCCTATCCAAATACTTAGCCATAAAACCTCTAGTGAATTGACAAGGTCCCATGGTGGTTAATACGGGCACAACCTCCAAGCAGGAAGTTAAAGGCCCCCCCACTCAGAACGTGGGGGTAGTGGGAATGCCAACGTGGGACATGTGGCATCACAACCGCCCAGCGGTTATCCGCTCCCAATATATATAATTACCCCCGGATGTGACACGGGTAAAGGGATCCCTCTCTCTCACTCTTTAGTCATCTGAATTCGAATCTCATCTTTTCCAAGTCTTTAAACTAATTGTCACACCGGAGGTAGAACGGGGAGGAAGCCCAAAGGTTTTTCAGGTCACACACACTTGACGGAGTAGTCGAAACACCGAACACTACCAGCCAAATAGAAGGGTTTTGTTCCACCACCACTTCACCTAATAAAGTTATTTTACATCAATATAGAGTGCACGTTTTCAGGTTGTTACATTGCAATTAATGTGACTAAAAATTTTACTTCGGGTGAGAACTTAACAATATTCAATGGCACCTTTGAATTAACAGCGGATAGTGCAAGTTCTGGGAATGATTCTTCCGTGAATATTACTTAGTGCAGAGCTTCGGAATAAATGAAGGGATTATGTGTGCAGTGTGCAAAGCTTCTGAATGATCCTAATTTGATTGCGCATCCAGGGGAAGTAGCAGCAACAGTCGTAGTGGCTGTGAGGATCAATGAAAAGGGTTATGCTTATTTAGGTATTGCGAGCTTTGGAGGTTGATGAGAATTTGATGGAATATGAAATATGTTTATATTCTTGTATTTTATGTTTATACTATATGTGTAATACCTTTATTAATTGAAATTGAAAAGTTAAACAAAAAAAAAAAGGAAGTTATGGATTTAGTTTCTTAATATTAGAAGTAAAATGACAAAATGTAACATTATATGAAGATTGGGGACTTGACTTGCAATTATATTATAATTATCCATTTATAATGAAGGATAAGGATTCCCTTTTGTTTCATTTGGGGGGAGAAGCCGCAGGCACAGAGGAAAGAAATCGAAACAGAGATGAGAGAAGGAAGGAAGGAGAAAAAAAAAATAGAGGAAAGGAAGGAATAAGTGTTGGTTTTCAACTTTCATTCACTAATTCTCTTTATTCTATTTTCAAGAGGTAAGTATAAAATATGTTAATTGAATTTTGGAAACTTTGCTTAAATTTGAAGTTAGCAAGGTAGACTATTTTAAATTATGGTTATGGAATTTTATTGTATGTGTGGTGCAATTAAAATAAAAAATTGTTTAGTAGATGGTAGAAAAAGAAAGATTTATGGATGGGTGATGAGATTTAAGGAACCTGTTCTATAGTTTCTTTTGACTTGTGGCTTAGTGAAAATAAATGATATGGAAGTTATATAAGTAGGGATTAAGATAATTAAATTGATGCTCTTAGCTAGAGAAATTGATTAGCAACCTGTCTATACTTAAAATATATAGATGATGTGCATGTTTGGGTTGAAGTTGTGAGAAACGAGAGATAAAAGTGAAATGGGTTTGATGTTCTTGACCTTAATCCTGGATTATGTATTCATAATTTCCTAATTACTTGAATTATATGGGTTTATATTGGTGTTAAGGATGAATTTTTGCTTTAGACAGCTGGATGGGGGGAGGGGAACTTATATGTGAACAAGTGGCCGTTTGGGTTCCATAAAATAAGAATCCTGGACTTATCTTTTAGGCTTCTTTTTAATTTGAACAAGGCTTTGTGATGGGTTTTGGTTTCAGTAAATCGAATATGAAACTTACTAAATATATGGGTGTTTCCATTGATTGGTAGGGAAATAAAAGAAACAAACTGGATTTGATAGAAGCTGCCCAATTGGTTATGTTATATATTTTTAGACAAGGAAGAACTAGAAAAGAAATAAAGATTAAGAAATAGAGGAATAGAAGTAAGATGAGTATTTGGGAATCCATAACCAATTTGAATTAATAAAATTTTATTGTTATTTCAGGATTGAGGCTGTGAGGATATTCCAAAAGCAAAATGTCTAAATTAGCTTGAAGCCTATAATTTAGTGAGTGAAAAAATATAAATATTTTTAAAGTATTTATAAATTAAGTATATTATCAAAGTATATGCAATTATGTGTTCGAATTATATGGTTATTATGGATATATCTTTTATTATGATACATGTGGACTTTCAATTATTGTATATGGTACATTGTGAATTATGTGATCTTGAGATCGACCAGAAAAGTGCCCGTTATTATATATTTCTTCTAGTTCATAGAGGGGCTTTGGCCGTGTTCTATACTACACTGAGGGATCGACTGGGGATGAAGGGGTTGTGACCATGTACATATAGTTCACTGAGGGGCCTTGACCGTGTTCTATAATTGATTATCAAAGGTCTTTGAGACCCGCTTTCATCATGGAGGGGCCCAAAGGCCTATGGCAAAAGTGCTTGCCTGATGGGTGGATTTAAGATTTTAGCCAGAGAGTACATTTTTGATGGATCACATGTGATGAGATGATTGTATAGATATTAGCTGATGACTATATCGTGATTAAGAGATGATATTTACAGTGATATGAGTATGTCTCACTTTTTTTCTATAATTGTACGAGGCTATCATGTGAAATATTAAATGATACGAACTCGATGTTTGATAAAAATGTTTAAAGGAGAAAGTATGATTATTTTGCGAACTATTTCACTCACCAAATTGTCAACTCATATTTTTCTAAAATTATTTTTACAGGGAATATTGGTCTTTGGTAGTTTGAGGAGCTTGGTGATTTCAAAGTTAGAGCCACACGACGTGTTGAAGGATATGAGTCAAATATGATTAAACCACAAAGTAAAGTTTTGGGCCCATTGCACTATGTTTTTATAAACATTTAACTTTATTGCATATCTTGTAGTAACTAATAGTGAGCCTTGATAATGGATTTGACATCTAGTCAGCATCTATTATCAGCGCATGCCACATTTCGGGTCCACTAGGGTGATTCGGGACCAGTCGTGTCATGGTTTTAAAAATTTTTATGGTTCGTGCATGTTCAGTAGGTATGTTTACATGTCGTGGTGGCAGAAATCACAAGCTCTCTAACTCGAATGTTTGGAACAAAAAATGATAGATATTTTTTTTTTTTTTTTTACAGATTTAGAAATGACTAGTATGTAAGTGTGGTAGTTGTAGTGATCCGATGGTTGGAAATGTTATAAGTTGTTGGGTTGGAACTATGTGTGTGTAACCTATTAAGATTTGAATAGATTGTGATGATTTTACGGGCATTCGAAGTTATAGATGTTACAATCACTTAATTATCAATTTATTTGTAGAACTACATGATTTTTTTTATGTGTACATAGGAAAAATTTTAGTTATAGCATGCAAGATAAATATAGGGAAATGATATAATGTGTGATTGGTGATAATCAGTGAGGAATTTTAATTATTTTTGAAGCCAAATGGTCTTTAGTGTCATCAAAATTTTGTGGTGATTTGTGGCCATTTATATGGGATGACAATAGAAATCATAATGGTGTATGTTTATGCTATATGATAAGAAATTGTGGAAGACAAAATGATGATTTGTTGATTGATGGATGACAATGTGTTATTGTGTACTTTAGGCATCGAGGAAACTAACGGTAATTTCAATTATTTCAATTATTTATGAGTGGTTTGATTACAAGGAACGTGAGAATAATAGGGATAAACTTCATAACGATTACCTATTAGGAAGTGATTTGTTGCTTTAAAAATAGAATTAAATGAATATGTGCATTTAGGTATTATAATGTGGGAAAAAAAATTAGAGAATGGTATGATCGAAATTTATTGAGATCGGGAAATTAACATGCGGTATATTGATGTGTGAAATGTTCATGTGATAAATATGAAGGCTATTATCTTGCGGTATTAATGAAAATTGATATAATTAAATGTTTTAGGTCATACGATATGACGATAAATGCCAAGGTTACATGATCTGATATTATGAATAGCATGTAAATGAATATAATGGTTATCATTTAGCAAAATAACATGATGATAGATTTGGATTATTAAGTTAATTAATTCCGTTAAGGCCATTTGTTGGATTATTGTGTCATATTACATACAATTTGGAAGCGTTGAGTTAAATTTTGAAGTTAAGATGAATTTAATGAATTTTTAGTGATGTAATTTTTGGGTGATTTTTAATTGTATTTTTGGATTTCACATATAAAGTACTCCATTTTTATTGAAATCTATTTGCTATGGAATATATGGATGATATGTCGAATAGCTTGAAGTTTAGGGTGGTCATTGAATGTAAATTTTATTCAATTGTGGGACAGTATCTTTGGGTTATAATCTTAATTGAAGATCTTTGTGCGATATACAAGAAAGCTTATGCATTGGTGATAGGCTGATGACCTCTTTATGGAATAAGAGTATAGTTGGATTAATTGTTATAATTGTCTCTTCATGGAAAGAAAGAGCACAAAAATTGTGTGAATTTAAGGATGTAAAAAGTGTTCCTATCAGATTAAATTGTGAGGAAACATTTACTCTTGTATCAAAAGTTGAAGAGGATTTGATTTATGATAATGGATTATGTTAAGGTTTAGAATGTGTTCTGAAGTAAAATGATGAATTATAAATTATATTATAGAATGTTGAAGAGGCATGACTAAAACATGGCTTAGAGTTGGTTATATTGGGATTATGTCATCACATTGCGAGAAATATTAATACATTATATGTGAACGAGTGGCTGTCTGGGTTCCATAAAATAAGAATTTTGGACTTAACTTTTAGGCTTCTTTTTAATTTGAACAAGGCTTTGTGGTGGGGTTTGGTTTCAATAAATCGAATATGAAACTTATTAAATAATAGGTGTTTCCATTGATTGGTAGGGAAATAAAAGAAACAAATTGGATTTGATAGAAGCTGTCCAATTGTTTATGTTATATATTTTTAGACAAGGAAGAACTAGAAAAGAAATAAAGATTAAGAAATAGAGGAATAGAAGTAAGATGAGTATTTGGGAATCCATAACCAATTTGAATTAATAAAATTTTATTGTTATTTCAGGATTGAGGCAGTGAGGATATTCGGAATGCAAAATGTCTATATTAGCTTGAAGCCTATAATTCAATGAGTGAAAAAATATATTCTTTTTAAAAGTATTTATAAATTAAGTATATTATCAAAGTATATGCAATTATGTGTTCAAATTATATGGTTATTATAGAAATATTTTTTATTATGATACATGTGGACTTTCAAATATTGTATACGGTACATTGTGAATTATGTGATCTTGAGATAGACTAGAAAAGTACCCGTGATTATATATTTCTTCCAGTTCATAGAGGGGTCTTGGTTGTGTTTTATACTACACTGAGGGGTCTATTGGGATGAAGGGGTCGTGACCATGTACATATAGTTTACTGAAGGGCCTTGACCGTGTTCTATAATTGATTATCAGAGGTCTTTGAAATCCGCACTCGTTCATGCAGGGGGCCAAAGGCCTGTTGCAAAAGTCCTTGGCCCGATGGACGGATTTCAGATTTTAGTCAGATGGTACATTTTTGGTGGATCACATGTGATGTAATGAGATGATAGTATAGATATCAGTTGATGACTATATCGTGATTAAGAGATGATATTTACAGTGTTCTGATAATGTCTCACTTTTTGTCTTTAATTGTATGAGGCTATCATGTGAAATATTAAATGATAGGAAGTTGATGTTTGATAAAAATGTTTAAAGGAGAAAGTATGATTATTTTGCGATCTATTCCACTCACTAAGTTGTCAATTCATATTTTTCTAAAATTATTTTTACAGGTAATATTGGTTTTTGATAGCTTGAGGAACTTGATGATTTCAAAGCTAGAGCCACACGACGTGTTGAAGGATATGAGTCACTTTGATTAAACCACGTAGTAAAGTTTTGGGCCCATTGCATTATGTTTTTATAAACATTTGATTTTATTGCATATCTTGTAGTAACTCATAGTGAACATTGGTGATGGATTTGACATCTAGTCAGTATCTATCATTAGCGCACACCACATTTCGGGTCCACTAGGGTGATTCGAGACGAGTCGTGTTAATATGCAAATGACCTAGAAAAATAATGTAATTACAGAAGAGAAGTGCAATCTGACCTTCTTGACTTGTAGAGGAACTATAATAAAGCAGGGATTTATGCTGTCCAAAATCAAGCCTATTGTGCAGACTACTCAGACCAAATAAATTTGAGAGTATTAAGGGAGCTTTCTGTATGTGCCACCATAAACTTTGTGACACAACCCGTCCCGAATCACCCTAGTGGACCCGAAACGTGACGTGCGCCGATGATAAATGTTGACTAGATGTCAAATCTATCACCAAAGCTGACTATAAATTACTATAAAATATACGACAAAATCAAATGTTTATAAAAACGTAGTGCAATGGGCCCAAAATTACATCGTGTTTTATCAAATTGACTCATCAATATGTTGTGTAGCTCTTACTCTAAAATCACCAGGCT